GATCTCAGTCCACCAAGCGATTTCGTTTTTGATTGGCAATATCAGTCCACCGACTCTAGAAATCGCTACTCTCTCTTCTAAATAACTAAGAAGGGGGTGATGGGGGTGATAAAGGTTTGCACCATTTTTCTCTTTTTGAGTTTTTTATTTTCTGTGCTTCGACTTTATTCTTTGGTCTCTGCAAAGAGAGTTATTAGGGAGAGCACTAATCATCCAAAGGGGAGAAAATGTCTCTTTCCAATTGAGAGAAGCTGTTTGTCAAATGCTTTTGTTCTGTGGAGCTCTATTCTTCTACTACCATGAAAACCATGTTATATGTTGCTGTTGTTCAACATTACTTTAATGCTTACCAGCTGGATGATATACAACTTATGCAGCTCAATTCAACATCTTCATCTTCAATTTCCATAGTTTTCTTACTGACAGTGTGATATGTGCTCTCCTACTTGAAATAAGATTGCTATTGATTACATGCTTTCTGCCAAAGTTTCTCCCATCATGTTCATTATTTCTTAACTTGATTATTGTCTTCATTTATTCTTTCATCTTTTCACTATTGAACTTGTCATTCAATAATACTGTACGACCAATCATGTTTGTAGGTACTTTGTCACGTTGTTCCCTCTTTGGTGAAGCTGCGGAAAGAAGGCTTGGACGGTCACGAAAAGATAAAGAGTTATATGTGTGTTTAGTTGTTAAAATCCACCTACTCTCCACCTACTTCACCCACTTAAACCTACTCCACTAAACCTAACCCACTACACCACTACCACCTCACCTACTCCACTAAACCTAACCCACTAAATCCACATACTCTCCACCTACTTCACCCACTTAAACCTACTCCACTAAACCTAACCCACTAAATCCACATACTCTCCACCTACTTCACCCACTTAAACCTACTCCACTAAACCTAACCCACTAAATCCACATACTCTCCACCTACTTCACCCACTTAAACCTACTCCACTAAACCTAACCCACTAAATCCACATACTCTCCACCTACTTCACCCACTTAAACCTACTCCACTAAACCTAACCCACTAAATCCACATACTCTCCACCTACTTCACCCACTTAAACCTACTCCACTAAACCTAACCCACTACAACACTACCACCTCACCTACTCCACTAAACCTAACCCACTACACCACTACCACCTCACCTACTCCACTAAACCTAACCCACTACACCACTACCACCTCACCTACTCCACTAAACCTAACCCACTACACCACTACCACCTCACCTACTCCACTAAACCTAACCCACTACACCACTACCACCTCACCTACTCCACTAAACCTAACCCACTACACCACTACCACCTCACCTACTCCACTAAACCTAACCCACTACACCACTACCACCTCACCTACTCCACTAAACCTAACCCACTACACCACTACCACCTCACCTACTCCACTAAACCTAACCCACTACACCACTACCACCTCACCTACTCCACTAAACCTAACCCACTACACCACTACCACCTCACCTACTCCACTAAACCTAACCCACTACACCACTACCACCTCACCTACTCCACTAAACCTAACCCACTACACCACTACCACCTCACCTACTCCACTAAACCTAACCCACTACACCACTACCACCTCACCTACTCCACTAAACCTAACCCACTACACCACTACCACCTCACCTACTCCACTAAACCTAACCCACTACACCACTACCACCTCACCTACTCCACTAAACCTAACCCACTACACCACTACCACCTCACCTACTCCACTAAACCTAACCCACTACACCACTACCACCTCACCTACTCCACTAAACCTAACCCACTACACCACTACCACCTCACCTACTCCACTAAACCTAACCCACTACACCACTACCACCTCACCTACTCCACTAAACCTAACCCACTACACCACTACCACCTCACCTACTCCACTAAACCTAACCCACTACACCACTACCACCTCACCTACTCCACTAAACCTAACCCACTACACCACTACCACCTCACCTACTCCACTAAACCTAACCCACTACACCACTACCACCTCACCTACTCCACTAAACCTAACCCACTACACTTTTTTTTTTGTGTGTAAAATTGTGATCGGGGTTGATCCCTGAGAGGAATAAAATATGGTGTGCAAATCATTATCACACGGATTTGTGAAAAACAGCAATGTTGTTTTTGTTTTTTTTTTTTTTGTTTTTTTTTTTTGTGAAAAATAAGGGAATCAAATAAAAAGAAAATATGGAGATGGTGATGAAATGAGAATGATGAATAAAAATAATAAATGATGGAGTGGGGAACAGGCCGAATCAAGAGCACCAATTAAGTTTTATAATAAAAAAATAAAGTTTAGGCGGTGGATGGGTGTGATTAAAAAAAGAAAAGGAAGGAGAGAGAAAGAGTCCCTGTGATTTGCCGTCACCATCACGTGGCAACCCTTTTGCCGAGATGGACATACAAACCCTTCCTGTAACCCTGTCCAACCATACTTCCTTGTTGCCATCGCCGAAAGGGAAGGGGCGAGATCGAGTCAGAACTCGGAGCCGATCCAGAGTTTAGTGTAGATTCATTCCCGAAGAAGCAAAGTCTGAAGAAGGCGATGGTGATCTCTGCGACGACAAATAATGAATCACAAACTGTTGCGACGAAACTCGCAGTTCAAATCGAAGTTGAGTTCGTGAAATGTGATTGTTGTGGATTAACAGAGGAGTGTACGCTCGCGTATATCGATCGAATTCGCGAGCGATTCTCAGGCGAAGTCTGGATTCTCCGAGGTCGTCGAGGTCGATGCCTAGTAGTCCGATGAATAACGCCGGAGGGATCGATCTAACGGAGTTGAGTCGATCTGAAAGCTGTATTGCTACTCTCTTCCGCCGGAGTTTTGGTCGGAGAAGAAGCCGGAGACTGAGCTCCGACGCCGTCTTCAGCAGCGGCGGCGTGGGATTCAAGTCAGTCAGATCTTGAATTCAGCGGAGGCCGAAGCTCCGATTCCTGGACCATCCCAGCTCAATTTGACAGTTCTAATGGCGAAACAGGGCTGTAAATCGTTCGCAGATCTATTGAAATCCTCAGGAGCCGAATCAACATTCAATGAAAATCTCGATGGTGGGTTAACTGTGTTCTGCCCGAGTGACTCTATTCTCAATTCATTCATGCCCAAGTACAAGAACTTGACAGCGGTGGTCGGAATATTCGCCGGCGATGAGAACGGAGCGGGATGGGTTTTGTGTCTAGTGTTTGTGTTTGTGCTTGGACAGCAGCTGGGGAGGAAGCACATGCAGAGTGATCAAGGTGAGGAAACAAAGAAAGAAGAGTTTCTGGTATGTGTTTGTGGTATGTGTTGAAAAACTCCAGCGGGCAGCTAAGGCAAGGTTGCCGGCCGGCTGCCCGCCGGAAAGAAAGGAGTATAGGTCTAAATCTTATAGCTCTGATACCTTGCTAAAATTCAATGTATAAAAAGAAATAGAGAATTGTATATTGATAAATATTATGGTGTGTTGAGCTCTCTCCTTTATAGAGGAGAGGGAGAACAATTACAAACCGAAAGTAGAAGCACAAACCAAACAACATTATTAAAGCATACTAATTATTATACTAACCTAACATTTTACATATTATATTCTAACAATTTCTTAACTTGATTATTGTCTTCATTTATTCTTTCATCTTTTCACTATTGAACTTGTCATTCAATACTAATACTGTACGACCAATCATGTTTGTAGGTACTTTGTCACGTTGTTCCCTCTTTGGTGAAGCTGCGGAAAGAAGGCTTGGACGGTCACGAAAAGATAAAGAGTTATATGTGTGTTTAGTTATTCATTTCAAGCAGTGATATGAGTCCTTGCTGTTTATAGCCAATTCTGTTATTGGTCATTACAATGAAGGTTGCAAGCCATATTGACTTCATTTTTTTTTTTTTTTTGTGTGGTAATTTATCTCTCCGGATGGTGGCTGTCACTTGGCTTTGCTATACTGGAGGCTCTGATTCTTTCTTGTTATTCTCTTCTATATTCCATCTATGCAGCTGGTCACAGGTAATTTTGCAAGTAGAATCTCATGTTTAATTCGTTTTGGTAAATTAGTGAATGATTTGATAAAATTATTAGCTTGTTTCTGATTGGTCTCTTAAAAGGGCATGTGTTTTGTTACGTTATGTGCTATTTGCAGGGTGAATCATGTGATGGTGACAAGTTTTCTTTTGGTGTGTGGTGCAATGACTATAACATGGATATGTGACAAAATATCAGAATCTGGATTTGGTAGTATTCTTAGCATTTGGTTACAACTTTTTTGGCTTCATTTATTATTTTTTGTGGTCTACTTATTTTTGACAGTTTTTTGTGCCTTTTTGATCATAGTATATGTTTTGTTTGGTGACCAATTGAGTTGGTATGTCAGGTTTTGTCAGTTTTTCTTATGTGACACCATTGGAATTTTATCTTTATGAACTAATTGAATACATGTGTTTGAGCATTTAAAATCTTGCAGTTTCAAGTCCAGTGATGAATAAATTTTGTTATGGTGAAGGAAAAAATTTAGGTGAAACATCAATTTATTGGTTCAACCTTCCCATCGTGTGTGGAAGGCAGTTTTTGAGGAAAGAAAGAAATGTAGGTTGTGTTTGGAATGATTTCCAAACTATAATGCTACCTATACATTCCAACTTCATGTTTGGATATGGCTTTCAAAATGTATTTCCAAAACTCTGCAGAAAACTGTCTCAGGCGCGATTTTTAAATTTTTTATTTTTTTTTCAAATTTGGCCTAACCGGTTGTCCCACCAGACATCCCACCGGTCGTCCGGCCAGTTGACCAGAACAATGCAATTTTTTTTTTTGCAATTGACATATGTTAATTTTTATATATTCGAAAAAAATATTTTTCTTTTTAAATTTTTTTTATGTGCTTTAATAGAATTTTGAGTTGTATGTTTAGTTATGAGTTATAAGTTTTTGTATCAAATATCATATGCTACATCAAAAATTCCCCACTCAATTCAAAACTATTTCACCAAACAAATTTTCCACACTCAAATCATAATTCCAAAACTCACAAACTCAAAATACAACTCATACTCACAAATCATATTAACGAAACTCTACCAAACGCAACTGTAATGTTATAAAACTCAAAATTCCATTTTATTTTGATATTTTTTAATTTGATAATCTATTTTTTAGGATTTTAGTGGTGGGAGGTGTCTGGTTGATATGTTGTGTGGCCCAAAGTAGTAATTTTTTGGTTGAGAATTTTGAATTCAATTTTTGAATATGTTATTTTGCGGGTAATGTTAAAACGTCATTTGTGGATATGTTATTTTGTAAGTAATGGTGATTGGATATTAAATTGAATGGGAAAGTGAATTAATGCTGCATTTGCTATTTGAATAGGATTTATTATTTCATATTAGTGTTATTCATTCACATAAAATTAGCACAATTAAAAAAAGAAAAAAAGAAGAAGATATCAAAGCTTTTCTCAAAACGCCACCTAAACCTTAAATCTGATGGTTAGATTTTTAAATAAAAAGATATGACGGCATTTCAAAAACGTCGCTAAATATTATAGTGATGTCATAGTACCATTAGGGGAGGACATTTGGCAGCATTTTTAAAAATGCCGCCCATACTAATATAACAACGTATTTTAAATGCCATAAAGCTATAGTGAGGGTCGTGTTGTCGGTGTTTGGTACTAAACGTCACAAAAAGAATTAGTGACGTTTTTAGTACCTATAGCAGCATTTTTTAAACGCCGTTAAAAGTGCATTTTCCAGTAGTGCCGATTGATTTGTACAAGGAGGTAAACCTCATAGTGACAATAACTTCTTGCTCTTGTGCATATTGATTGTTTAATATGTATTTTTTGTTTTTTATTGTTTGGATCTAGTTAGACTCTTGGTGCATGGTTTGATTTGTCTTCACTATTGATTTTTAGACTGACTTTCTAATTTCTTTCTCTAATGGTTATTTTGAGCCAATAAAGTGAATTCATTATTGGATTTGAGTTGATCTTTCAGACTTCACTATCTCTAAACTGCTTTTGGTAATGATTGGTTGAAAAACACGTCTTTCCCTTTGCCTCATGCTGCCAGTTATGTCCATCTGACTCTTCATTCATATGACATTATGTAGCTTTTTCTTTGTTATTTTGAGTTATTAGTTTCATTTAATCCTTATCACAACTTTCTAATGACGTGTGTTTCCCTGCCATGCCTGTCTTCCGATGTTCAGGTTCTTGTTACTCTTCATCAGGCAGTTATCCCTTATTTGTCAAACCCAATCATGTTATGGTGAGCCCACGTGCTGAGATATCATTCTCTTTTCTAAGCTATATTACTTAATTTATACTTACATCTGATACTTTACCTCACAATATGCAGTGATTTTCTGACGAGATCATATGAGATTGGAGGTGTTATCAGTGTCATGGCTCTTAGCAGATTGTACGTTCTTATGACACAAAATGGCCTTGAGTATCCTAACTTCTCTGAGTAGACTGTCACTTTCAGTTCCTCCGTTAGGAGTGTTCATTATAAAAAATTAAGGTTTTAGAGACCAAAATTAGGGACAATATTTTTTTAGGGACTAAATGATTTTTCATTATTGCTTTGATTCACAACCTTTTACGGAGACATTCTTCAATCAACTATCTGGTTCATCGGGTAGCAATTTGCACTTAACTTCTTGCATAAACATAATTGTTGTCTTTGAAATCTTTGCAAAATATATATGACATCATGGTTGTTGGATTCTTGCAAATGAAACTGGGGAATTATGCTATGTATAATATTATTAGGCATGTGAACACACAAACTGTGACTCTCTCTCTCTCTCTCTCCAAATGCTAGGGCAAAATACATTGTCCCAATGTTTTCATAATAGCAAAATTAGCATAAATTTTTAAGCTGAACAAAGAATTTATTTACTTTGGAGTCCCAGGGTACGCCATTGATAGTAATGCATGTAGTGAAGGTAAATCGTATGTTAAAATTATGAAGCTATACTTTGTACAGGAGAATAGAGGCACAAGATGTACAAGGATGATGTGGTATTATTGAATCGCATTGTGGAAAATTATGCCTAGGTTACAGCTGAAGTGGCCATTTTTATCTTGAATCGACCATTTATGAACATTGCTAATATAGTTAAAGCAAAGTGGATGAAGTGGAGAAATTCGTTTTCTGCATTGTGTGAATGATATATATGTTTTGAATTGCATGCAAATTTCTTATGATAGGTAGACACTGCTCATGCTTTATAGAATAGTGGGTTGGAGAATTCTGGAATTGATATGATAGGTGATGCTACTCACGCTTTCATGTCTGAACTGAAATGGAATATTTTACAATTCTTTAAGTTTAGAGAATTTAGTACATTTTACAATTCTTAAAAGTTTAGAGATTTGAGTTTACTTGGGTTGGATCATATTCTTCTTATATCTATTTTATCTTTTGATTATTTTTTAATCGTTATGTACCTTAGCAGCATTCAGAAGGTGCTTGCACTCAGCATTTTTTAATATTTTCTATTTGAGAAGAAAGAAGTTTTGATTTTTGTGCAGGAGAATGGTGATGGAACTTCTAGAGATAATTCTAGAGTGGTGGATGGTGAAACCGAGGACTCCTGTACCAAACCAGAAATATCTAGTAAAAAATCAGGCATTGATCATTTCAACATGAGGGAAGTAATCCTGTAAAAACTGATGCAATGAGTAAGTTTCTGCTTCGCGATCTGCAAATTTTCATGTATTTGAATAATCGGCTTTGCCCCACCCCATGCCACCAGCACCACCATGAACACATGTTGAATTTTTAACTGGATGCATATCTTTATTTTTCTATCTTTTCTTAGATATATAGAAATCTCCTTTTTTTTGTGTGATGCTTCTACTCTGAACCACTATGAGCATGTTCTGTTGTTTCTTTTACTCTGCTTCTATATTTTAAAACTATATATATATATATATATTCCATTATATAAAGCACACAATTCAGAACATGTTTTGAAGCTATGACATGCATTTTCTCATATCCAAATTAATCTTATGCAGAGAAATCTTTAATATGCATAACTGCGTTTGTGTTTTTGTTTGAGTTTGGAAGACCTTATAAAGGCTAGTACTTTCTTGAACCTGCTTCTATTGTTTCTCTTGCTCTGCTTCTATATTTTAAAACAATATATATATTCTATCATATAAAGCACACAATTCAGAACATGTTTTGAAGCTATGTCACGCATTTTCTCATATCCAAATTAACCTTATGCAACTGCTTAGATGACGGTTACGGCCATCTTTTCTGTACATGCATCGCACTTGTGTGTAGCCTTCTAGTATGTATTTATAAATGAGGACATTGAGATGGATCCATATTGTCGATCCCAACTAATTGGGAGTAGACTTCATTGGTAGCTAGTCACCTTGAGTACTTTGTTGATCCATTCAGCTTTCTGGCCTGTGAGAACGATGCACAGATTGAAGCAATTTTCAGTTTAATGCTTCCCTGTGGCTTATGGATATTTGATGTCTTTTTGTCTGCTATTATCTGTTGTGAAGTCTACAAAAACCCGGGAGTCCTACTTATTGACAATTACGGGGCCCTACAAATTTGTACCTTTTATACCATGTTATTCGTTTGATTTCACTATTTAGTTGGTAACTGTCCTGCCTTCATCAGTCTGCAAATATCCTGTATGATTAATGTATGAATTTTCATTCTTCTTGACTGCTATTCTTCTTTTCTTGTTAGCATTTTATGTCTTTCAGAAGAAAAAAATGCCCAACAATTGGCAACATGTGTACAGGAAGTTCTCTTTGGGAGATTGATACCCTCCGTCACCACTACCACCCACCTGTTTCAAGGTGCATGCTCTAACCGGATCATCTCTGCTTCCTCTCTTGAATGTGCATGCTTGTTTGCATTCTTTAGAATAATGTGTTTTAATTACATTATTTGGCATGTCCTTTTCATTGACAATACCTACTTTCTTCTTTTTTTAGATTTGTTTTGTCGCTTGAGAATGATTTGACAGTAAGAAGCAAAACGACTGAAGTTGCAGTTAAAGATTTCAGTTCTGGTTCATATGCAACAATATTTAGAGCGGAGGTATATTTGCATCTATTTACACAAGAAAAAGAAAAAAAAGAAAAGAAAATTCAATTATGCTTTCCTTAATGTGATTCAATTCAAATAAAAACTTAATCCACTTGCAGATTGGACGAAGGGTAAAACAGGTACCACTTGCATTCTACAAGGCAACTCCCAGCTCTTTGTTCTCGGAGTCTGATTTTGCTGGCTGGACTTTCAAAATAAAGAAAAGGACGAGTTGTTTACTAGTGGTGTTGATAGCAAGAACATAGACATATCTGAAGATCAGGATCATGGTTCTGCAAAGCGCCAGAGAATTGAGTGCTCGTGAAGCAAGTGGTGTCTTTTTTGTTCTCAAGTTTTTACTTATTGACAATGTCTATTTTGTAGCTTATATGCTTGGAAGCCGTTTACTTGGTTCTTTTTCCATTTTTCATATTTTTCTACAGTGCCTTTTCTTTTCTTTTCTTTTTTAATAGATGTTAATATAATTGGAGTTGCTAATATTTCACCTATTAATGGATCCATTCAAATGGGGATTTTTGTCAGATGGGTGTTAATACGAATAATAATGGTAATAGTTGTGAATGTAATAATCTTTTGGAAGACAATGATGCATTGAAATTCCGTCTCCAAATCTCCTTATTCTAATGTATAATTAGTTGTACGGATGTCTTTAGATTTTCTCCATCTCAACATTATATGATTGAAAATATATTAGAACAAATGGACACAGCAAAAATTGGTTGGCCTAGTTTGACGTTCTGTTAAGGACATGTTAGTTGTTATTACATCTATCATTTTGGGCAATTCCCTCCCCCCACCCCCCCTTCAAATAAACATCATCTTTCCAAATTTACTTTAGAATCCCTAACTTTTCATTTGAGGACTTGTTGGGTAATACATGCAGTTGCACCATTGGTGTTTGAATTTAGTTACAGTTTGAATGTTTGAATTTAGTTGAAGTTGAGGTGTGTAAGCAGTGCATAATAAAATGCAGGCATTCTTTGGTTGGACTGCCTACTTGTAGCCTTAACAACAGTTCACATGCTTGAGATGACTTGCCTTCTCCACATCCTACCCTCCAACAATGCCAAGCTGATGTACCAGTAAAGGTCATGCTGCCTTTTATATATGTATATATATCCTGCAATCAGAATGAGAAAGCAGTGCTGGAATTATTGGTTAATTGAGCACAGGAAACTAATATGGACGAGAAGTTTGAATCAAAAGGAAGAGTATGCGTGACGGGTGCTTCTGGTTTCTTGGTTGATCAAGAGGCTTCTCTTGTCTGGGTATAATGTCATTGGAACAGTTAGGGACCCCGGTATCTGTCTCTCCCTCTCTCTCTCAAATCAAAAACTGCATTTTGTGTATATTGTAATTAAAGTTTATTTGCTATGATGTATGAAGGAAACAATGAGAAATTGGGGCATCTGTGGAGGCTGGAAGGAGCCAAGGAGAGAGTTGAGTTGGTGAGGGCTGATCTAATGGAGGAGGGCAGCTTTGACGACACAATTATGGGATGTCATGGTGTCTTCCATATTGCTTTCCCTGTTTTGGCCCAACCATCTTCTGATCCAAAGGCATGCTCGTGTTAATAGCCCCTTCATTCAATCATTCAATCTTTAAGCATGTTACTGTTAGCATTGTATATACATCAAGTTTATATATATTTGAAGTGGTGCAATATTATTGGAATAGGCTGAAATCTTGATACCTGCAATTGAGGGTACATTGAACTTCTTGCGTTCATGTAAGAAGAATCCATCACTAAATTGAGTGATTCTCACCTCATCTTCTTCAACCGTAAGGGCAAGAGATGATTTCGACCCAAATGTGCCTTTGGATGAATCATCTTGGAGCTCTGTGAAAGACTCCAGGTTAATTATATTATCTTAATTAACCAATTAAAATTATTCCAACATTGCAATTTTACTATATAGGCCTGCTTCCATGTACCAGCAAAATAAATTATAATATCACACTACTTATTTGAAACTCATCACACCAGCCTCTTACCTGCAGCTGCATTAACTAATATATATTTATATATATGGCCTTCATCTCATAATTGGTTTATTATATATGAAAGATTTGGTATGCTTTATCTAAAACCCTAGCTGAGAGGACTGCATGGGAGTTCTGCAAGTATAACAAGATCGATCTGGTGACCGTTCACCCCTTGCCATTTTTCTTCACTTTCCAAAGTTCAGTCAGTGGTGTTAAGTAACTGTTATCTTGTTACTTGTATTTGTAACCAAACTGGAGTTTGGAAGCACAATGACAGTACTACTTATAAACCCTTCACTAATTTACTTATTTGACTTACAGTTTGATTGTGTTTGATCTTTCAAATAAATAAATAGGAAAGACTGAGAAATTTCATTGGCATGGAAGGATGGGATATGTGCACATTGATGATGTAGCACTCTGCCACATCCTTGTTTATGAGCATAAAAATGTGCATGGATAATACCTTTGTAGCTCAGTTGTTGTCGACAATAATGAGCTTGTTTCCATGTTGTCTCGATGCTATCCAACAGTACCCATTCCCAAGAGATTGGTATTGTTTTCTCAGTAGAGATTAATGTTATCAACATTAAACTGTTCTATTTTAGATTATTAGTTTGTAAAACCTTTCATTGCTCTTGTAATATTGATGTTCCAAGGTCCAAATCTTTTTCTTTTTTTTTTTAATTTATAATTTTGACGACATTTTTGAAGTGAAAACATGCATAATATTAAAATTTATGAAAGTTCGTATGAAAATATTCAATTTTCGTGACAAGAGAGTATTTATAATCCTATGATCAAGGGAGGGGAGATTTATATATAGCAATTATGTATGGATTATATGTGTACATGGATTAGTGATTGATGAACTGATGCTGATGATTTTTACATGTGGCCTATATTTCAGGTTCGAGGCACTTGATAGGCCATATTATAAGCTGAGAAGTTTGGGATTCAAGTTCAAGTGTATCGAAGAGATGTTCGATGATTGCATTGCGTCTTTAATGGCGCAAGGACATCTTTGTTTAGCCTAGTCTAGCTACAACTACTAGCAACATCCTACAATATTTTGAATATGAATATTTTCTTGCTCAGACATCTATTGAATTTTTTTAGTTTACTTCTTGTAGTTCACACCTTCCTTCTTGTAGTTCCTACAAATTCATGCTATAAATGGAATGCACGGTGAACAAAAAGAAATTGTGCTGTAGAAATTGAAATTTGTGAACTGTCTAATATGAATTCACATATTAATGTCAATTTTGTTGTTATTTTTTGTCCCTACGTGTACTCTCTACCGAGCTATGTAAATCCCTATATATGTTTTTCGGTGTATGGACGTGTTTAATATTTTCACCTAAATTTTCAAATTTAGAGATGTTAAATTTATTTGAAAGTTTGTGGTAATTTAGTATTTCAAAATTTGATGTCTTTAAAAAAAATTCTTGAAATATTAAATTTATTATTTTATTATATTTTATTTGACATACACTACAGAGATTAACAAATTAAACAAATTTTATTTACTCATTGATTTAATACCCTATCATATTTATCAAAGAGAGTCCTAATTTTAAAATTACATAAATTATTAAGATTTAAAATAATAAATAAATTTTAATAATCTATATAGAACTTTTGGTTTCATTTTGTTATTATGATACTCACATACCATTACCAAAATAATCTCCATCATGATTGGTTGGTTAAGGATTTATGGCCTTAATTAACATGGTTAATATTAAGGAGAAATTTAGAATGTGCACTCTTTCAAATGGTGCACATTGTAAAATAGTTATGATTTTTTATGATGAATGTTATGATTGTTTGGAATGTATGTTATGACATTTTGTAGTAAATTTATAAATAGTAAATTTATGATGCGCACCTTAAAGTTAAGAACAATATTGTCATGACATTTTGTGATTTTTGCCATGACACTTTGAGATTTTGTTATGACATTTTTCAATGAAAAAAAGTTATGATTTTTATAGTAAAAAAATTATGATATTTTGGGTTTAAGTTATGAAATTTTGTGAAAAAATTATGAAAAGCATATCACATGCACCTTTTTGAGGGTGCACATTGTAACATCTCTCTAATATTAATAGTGAAGAATTATCAATATATAGAACTAGCGTAAAACCCGTGCTATGCATGCATGGGCAAGTAACAAAATGTGATAAATAATACTAAACATGTTAAAAATGAACTAAATACTATAATATTAATTTAGATGAGTATTTAAATAATAGATTTGAGTGATTTCACTATATTTATATAAATATGCAGGACTAATTAATTTTTTTGAAATACACTCAATCGAATAAATTTAATTGAAAAGGAAGAGTAAGAGTGAGATTCTATAAATATAAGATAAAGATAAAAAAATTAAGTTTGAATTTGAAGATAAAAAAATTACAACCCCACCCATTATACAAATTTAAAATACTCAAAACTTCTAAAATTATGCTACATCATCTGTTAGTATACTAATTGATATACCAATTGGCGCATATAGCATTATTCATTATTTTTTTCTTAATTGGAACACTCCTTGCTTGTTTGATGGTAAGGAATGAATGATTTTAGAAATAAAGAATGCACTCTTTGTTTAAAATAGAAAGTGTTAGTGCGTGATTTATTAATTATTTTTTAAATTGAAAAATCAAGAAATTTAGATTGAACACTTGGACCTCTCTTAACCCTTTTCACTAAAAATCTCATTTTGCTTATATAATGTATAGATAGATAAATAGATAGATAGATAGATTAGTGAATGATTGGTTATCCAACTATATTATTGAGATCACGTTTGTTTTGCAATGAATATGAAAATAAAAATTTTTCATAATATGTTTAATTTTGTTGAATAGAATGTCTATCGAAAACTAATGTAGATAACAAAAATTATAATCAAATATTGAAATGTGAATTTTATGAATTAATAATCTCAATTCAATGCTATAATCCAACCAATCAAATAATTCTATGTGTACTAATAAATCAGCTCCATTCATTTTATTATTGAATTTGTTCCGTTGGATTGGGCAATGAGACTGGCTTCTCTCCATTTCTCCGTTGGACTCGAGAGGTATTGTGGGACCTAGTGGACTCACATTTGAGCCTTGTTTCTATAATTTGAACCATTCATATTTTAAGATTCGCCGATTAAATCATTCATACAAAAAATCAAGTTAATCGGATAACGATAATCACGTGTTTGGATCAATTTTGTATAGAAAAAAATAAACGATGAGAGAATAAATGATTTATACAAAATTAATCCAAACACGTGGTCTCTATTATCCGATTAACTTAATTTTTTTATAGAGATGATGTATTCGATAAATCTTAAAACATGAACGATTCAGATTATCGAAGCGGGACCTAAAAACAGGCCCACTAGGCCGGACTGGATGACCCAGTCTGATGGAAGATTGGAGAGAGTCCAATAACACGTCTGATAATTGCTCCTAGCTATTGATAAGAGAAATAATTTTCTGGAGTCCAATAACGCGTGATAATTGCGCCTGGTTATTGATAATTTCGCCTGGTTATTAATTGTGTTGGTCATCCAGCCAAACTAGGATTTGCACTAGTATGTATACACTACACAACTTCAATTGTAGTGACTTCATTCCTTGGATTGGTGTTCACGGTTTAATAACTTGATTCATTCTTGGTGGTCTTCACACATCATACACTTGGTGATCTTCACACATCATACACTTGGTGATCTTCGGTAATCTTCTTCTTCTTCTTCCTTGGGTTGGTTTCTTTGTTTTTCATCACATATTAGTAATATGATGTTACACACTCGGGTTCGCTCATCTTCATTTGGTGTATTTCGGCTTTATTGATATGGAGACGACAACTCCGTGGTTGCCGTTGCTGACACCAATACCTCCACCTCCACCTCCGTGGTTCCCAACGTTCCTGTCTGCCGATGATGAACAACCTTTGATCATCCTTAAGTTTCTTCAACACTCTCTCGCAACAGAAAAATGGTGTATATGGAAAAAACCAAAAGTCGGCTGGATTAAATTAAACACTGATGGATCTATACGTGGTGGTCGAAATAATGTTAGGACCACGAGTTATGGTGGTCTTCTACGTGATTACAATGGTCTTCCCATTTGTGCTTATGTCTCCTCAGTTCTTCCTCCCAAAGATGTACATAACATCTTCGTAGTCGAATTATGGGCCATATGGCGAGGTCTCATGCATGCGTTCAAACTGGGTATTAAATATATTTGGATTGAGTCTGATTCATTGAGTGTCATCAAAACAATTAAGAAAGAGCAACAGTGCTTTCATTCAACGGCTAATAGCGGATTGGACCACATTTGGCGACTTCTAAACAAGTTCGACTAATTCGAAATTTCTCATTCATGACGCGAATCTAACCGGGCTGCGGATTATCTCGCAAAGATGGACCTTGGAGTTAATGATGCTGTTCTGCAGCCAATTGATTTTCCAGAAAGCCTAATCCATATTATCAATGAGGATGCTCGTGGAAAGTTGTACACGAGAAGCAAGAAAGATTAGTTATGGTTTTGTTATAGGCATTAAGTCATTTGTAATATTATTGTACAATCACAATTTGTTGTGTACGTACACCCTCAAATTTGAATATAATATTAGGGTAATGTTTTTATTTTGAAAATTTTCTCATAAGCAATTAGTGTAAGTGGTTTTTCCAAATAAATTTCCTGTCTTTTTTTTTTTTGTTTTTTTGATGTTGTTTCCTTTAATGTCATCACTTCCTGTCTTTAGACTGGAAAATAGGCTTAAGAAAAAATAGCAAACAAAAACCAAGTTCCCTGGAATGAAAGAAAAGGATAATTTGTAAGAAATACTTGTGAAATAGCCCTCATTCACCAACAGTAAAGAATGTTTTTATTTTGAAAATTTTCTCAAAAGCAATTAGTGTAAGTGGTTTTTCCAAATAAATTTCCTGTCTTTTTTTTTTTTGTTTTTTTGATGTTGTTTCCTTTAATGTCATCACTTCCTGTCTTTAGACTGGAAAATAGTTGCTCCTAGCTATTGATAACAAAAACCAAGTTCTCTGGAATGAAAGAAAATGATAATTTGTAAGAAATACTTGTGAAATAGCCCTCATTCACCAACATTAAAGATGTAATTATTAAATAAAAAACAGAGGCTAATATGTAATTAAGCAAATTGTAAGGAAATATTGTTAATTTACCCTTAAATTTATTTACTTGATACAAGGTATTTTGAAGAAATTTACCAATGTATGTTTTATTTAATTTTATTTTGTTAAAGTCGTGAGATCAAAGAATACAATTTCAATTTTGAAATTATATTTTTAAAAATGAAATGCTAATCACTACTAAAGTTGTTATTTTCTTTTTTCATTCTAAGGATAATTTTTTATTCAAAAACTATTAACTTATTTACTAAATCCGTCAACAAAAGAGACCTTCATGGACATTAGTATACATAACATTTATATACTCTAGATCTCTGTTCCAAATTGATTCTACAAAACATAATAACTTAAGATTGCATTATGAATGCATATGACTTGCAATCACTAAACCTCAATCATTACTAAGCATGTTAAATCCCAAGATGTTGGAGAGATTCTGGGCCAACAAGGAATACACGCTTTGGGCTTTGGTATCGGAAAACAACTACTCCTTTGTACGCTGTTCTTGGCACGCCATCCTGGGAAAGGACACAAAACAATGGTTATGATTTCTTTGAAGGGGAAACAATTTCAAACAATGAGACTACCATCAGAACAACCATATTGTGTACATGTGTGAAAAAGGCCTTCAAATTCTAAATGATTAAAAAAATGTATAATTCTGCATCTCCAAGAAAGCATATCAAAGCATGAGAGAGATAGAGGGAGAAGTTCAACATTATTTGAATTCTTTAGTTCAATAGGAAACAAGAACTTCATTAAAAGGTGCTTAATTCACAAAGTCAAAATACATATCCAGATATTGTCTTACGAAATTAGTCAAGCACAACATTGACCCAATATTAAGATTTTCTATATTTAGTGAAGAAAATGAAGTTAAAAAAAAGGTACCATAGCCATTTTTTAAGAACCAACAAGGTGTGTGCAAGTGTCAATAAATTGTGTTTCAGATCCATACTAAAAATCAATCAACAAAATCACCCGGTTTCTATTGTTAGATAAATGAATTGGAAGTTGCACTACCTTCCATTCTTCAAAAATGCCAAATTGACGTGCAATGTGTTTAAAATCTGTCTCGTCTTTGTACTGAATGCGCACATCACAATCTATATTACATTCCTTCAAAACATCATCAGTTCCATAGACAAGTCTTGCATTTTTAACCATGTCAGCAAAGTGCTTAACATACTTGTCCTGAAAAAGTGGGGGTTAAAAAATTTAGGCATAAATACAGTAAATTCTGAGTTCACCTCAGACAGCCATTTTCAAATGTATCTTATACCTCCATCAGGTAGTTCAGATCCATTGACTTCCAATCAACCTTTCAGCAAAAGTAAAATATCATCGATGCTATAAGAATTGTGCACAAACTAAAATCATATTTTCTATGCAAAAAAATAAAATAAAAAATGCTCACATGCCTGAACACCATTCAACTTAATTGGCTCAAGATATTGTTTAAAATACTGGCCCAAACTAGAACCCTGCAAGGAAATCAGAGTAAGACAAAAACAAGCAAGGTTGTCAGGAAACCATAGCTGTAGGAAACAGTGAATAATAATTAACGTTAAATGTCAAAACTATTTAAAGATGATTATTGTTATAGAAGAAATATGACGATGTGTTTACTTTGTCAGGAAATGGGTGAACAAGGTAACGCATGGATGCAGAGGGTGTGTGTGGGTGGGTGCGTGCATGCATGGTGTAACTTCGTTGTGTGAGAAATAACTAAGAGTCAATCTTCAACAATAAATTTTTATCCCGGTGCCAAATTTCAAAGCAACATACATTTAGAACAATATCTTGAGCAATGACATGGTTCTAATTTTATAGCAATGATAACAAAAAAATGTTTAAGTTTTCTGAGTGAGTAATGTTGTTTCACAAAGTACAAAATCACTTCTGAACATTGTACATACATGTTCTCCAAAATTATATGTTCTGCACACTTCTGGACGGATAAACTGTCGACCTTTGTGAGTCTCTTTTAACCTCAACCAATCATCCCAATAAGTGAAAAATTATGTCAAAGAAAATGTTCAAAAGAGATGCATTAAAGTAATATGCAAGTATGAACAACAAACTATGACTCAATACACCACAAGGATATGCTTTTGGCCACTTTGGAGAGAGTTCATCCCACGTAGATTTAGCCAGCATCCACCCCAGTCCGGGGAAAAAATCTGAACGGTAAAGCATGTCTGCAAAGTGTAAAATAAAGCTGATAAGAGAACAATTTCTCAAGATTTCTGATTTAAAGAATAATCTTTATACGATGCAACATTCATTTGCCTGCTAGAATCAAGTAAACTAATTTCAATCCAAACATGGAAGTTATAATGCCTTCACAAGAACCTTGGAAGCAAAAATCTCCAAAGTAAACTTTTTTTTTAATAGGTCAGTTGAGGAGACTTGAACTGGAATCTATGGAAGGGAATGCGACCTAAGCCACTGAGAAGTCCCTGGGGGACAAAAACTCCTTGGAGTTACTGCAAAATGACTAATAACTGTAACCTCTATGCAGGTTTATCAGTTAGCTTTACATTTAGTTCTAGAAGAATAATTATTTACCGATACAAGCACCAAATGAACTTACAAGGATCCTGCACAAACTGCTTTTGTCCATTGTCATTCCATGAAGAAACAGCCATAATGGACCTATTTTGGATTCATACAAACAAAAGCAAAAAGATAGTTAGAGGTTGCAGACTCCGATCTTGAACTTCAAATAACGAAATGTACTTCATAATAGGACTCACTTATCACTTTCAAGGAGTGCAACTGCAGCCTCAAAATAGTCGAAGAAATCAGGGGAAATTTCCATATCATCTGTATTCCATGGAAATTTATTTTTAGCCAATTGCTTAACATTTCCATTGAAAAATAAAAATAAAAATAAAGGAGAGAGAAAGTAAAAAAGGCAGCACAAAGCAACATTGTTGCACCTTCAAGTATGATAACTCGACTAAAGTTATGTTTATAAAACAATTGATCCAATGCCCATTTGTAATGACCTAGAAAACACCAGCATTAAAAGACATCAAACAATGATGCTTTTTAAAGGGGACCTTTTTTTATTTTTTTATTTTTTTAAGCAAGTGACGAAAAAGATAAATCCTTACGTGCAATCTTGTAGTATACAATCATTTCCTTGGGCCTCTCGGCGTGCACTGGTTCATGATCCAAGTGCTGCAACCAACTGAAGTTAGTGTTTAAGCTAGACATATTAACAAAAAGTCTCACAAAAGGGTAGAAATTATGTCATGAAAACATATGGCATCTCTAACACAAGATTTATATGCTTCTTGAAAGGAGCTTTCCATGGCATAAAATTAATAGACAAATGTATGAGTTGATGAAAATTTGCTGAACCATACTCTTGTCATCAGCATTCCTCTCTAGAGAATTAAAATAATTTACCTGCATGTAGGTTAGCTGATTGTAACTCAAAGCCTTACTTTTGACATCAGGATCTTCTCCATCCTACAGAAATTTACTAGCTTTAGCTGTCTTGTCCTTCCTGATCTCTCATTACCAATCAAACATATCTAAACTTGTGTTGACTAGAATCCCTACTTAAAAAAGTACCTGGGATACAAAAAGGGGATACTTTGAAGGAACAGAACTTTGATGTCTGGAGAATATGAAGAATTTTGTAACCGTGAGTTAGTTGAAATATGAGCAAATTAATCAGGAGCACTAGAAAATGCTCACAAATATTAAGCATACTTTAGAATAGATTTGAGAGCCCTTTCAAGATAATTAGCACGGTTACAAGCCATAACCACAACTGCCGCAACTGGAGCCTAATAATTCAGAAAAGAGGGATGCAGATGTGATGACTTTAAAACAGAAAAATAAATAAATAAAATAGAAGAATTAAATTGAAAAAACCTCCACTCCATCCAAACCTGTACTTTGTCTATTATTTTTTCAAGGCCATTCCCTGCAACATGATAACATTATAACTATCAAATTACAAACAAAAATGCACAAGCATACACATCAGTTAAATAAAAAATGTGCAGGGGAATAATGTAACAGGCTCAGAATTTGAGCCAAGTTTTTCAAATTTGTTAAACAACTACACCTCAAATGGTGACCGTGTATTATAATTTATAATAGAGTGCATTGTATATGAACAATACTATCAGGAAAAAAAAAACAAAACAAAACAAAACAAAACAAAAAACAAAAACAAAACAAAAAAGGAAAGGAAAAACCAAGGAGAAAAGCTCACTCCTTGCATACTTCTAATGGAGTTTTTTAAACTCCCCTATTAGACTGTTCAATTCATCAATAATAAATTTGGTTCACATGCATTTTCAACAAGGCATCTCACTAAAACACTTTTGTAATGCATGCAAGGACCTAAAAAACAATCAATAACATTTGAAATCTTATTCACATACTCTCAGATGAGTCTCATTTAAAACTCATTTGATTATCTATAAATATATTGTCTGAATTATTTTTGTTTCTTAGTTTTAAAATATATGTATATCTATATATATTACATAACCAGTTACACTGTTAAACATAAGTACAATAAATTTTCATTCCAAAAGTAACAATTCATCACCATATCTGTACTCTTCAATCCTCACAGAACCCAAATTGAAAGATCTATTAAAAAATTTCATCCTTTAATTTATAATAGGAAAGCCAAAATCGAGGATAAATATTTGTTCTCTACCAATATTTTTTTTTCTTGGTAGTTTTTCTTTGATTTCTTTGGGATTCATATGTTTTAGTGGTCCTATCCCAATTGAAACCATGATTCTATCTTGACAGAAATGTGGTTATAACAAGATTCTTATTCTAAACCACAGAATCACAGTTCTAGAGCGGAATCATCACCTCAATAGAAAATTCATGCAACTAAGATTTGCAGAGCAAGAACGAGGCGGCTTCATACGTCGAGTTCCAAAAGCTTCCTGAGATGTTTTCTAAAAAACATTGCTTCCCAGAATAAGGTGGCTCTGTATGCCAAATTCCATTTTTTTTTCAAAATGAGATGTTTGAAGAAAGTCACTTTTCAAAATAAGGAGAAACGTGGCCCCTACGCCAATATTCTGAAACCCATGAAGTGCTTACCTGTAGCACTGTTTCCTGAGATGTTTAAAATATATTGCTTCCCAGAATAAGGTGGCCCCATACGTTGGATTCCAAAACTATGAGGTGCTACCCATAGCACTACTTTCCCATTGTGAGGTGCATCTATCACATCATTTTTTTGCATCTATCGCATATCCTGTCATTTTGTTGTATTCTCCTTTTCATGTGAAACGTGGTAAGGCTTTCTAATACTTTGTTGCATTCACCTTCTCGCGTGAAATGAGTTTAGGTTTTTTATCACTTGTACACTTCCTCCACTCGCATGAAACGTGTTTGGATTGCACCTATGTGTTCACCTTTGTTGGCTGCCGGCTAAAGTTGAAGTTCTTTATTGCTGTGATTGCTGGTCATGTGTAAGTTCTTGGTTACATATCTTTCTCCATTCGCGTGAAACGTGTTTGGATTGCACTCGTAGGTTCACCTTCATTGGTCGCTGGTCGAAGTTGGAGTTCCCTATTACTGTGATTGCTGGTCATATGCAAGTTTTTGGTTACGTACTCTCTATTTTCCTGAAGGCTGCTCACTTTCTTCCCAGCCATTTCAGGCTAATTCCTTTCCTAGCTTAGTTCTCTTTCATTTCTTTTTATTTCCTTAAACCTTAAACATATAAACTTGATATTTTTCAATGCAAAGTATATGAAATTGTTTTAGAATACTTAGGGCTCTTCAACGTATGTCTTTGGCACACTTCAATATTCATTAAGCCTTGATCACCTAGGATGCTTCTAGGCATCCATTTGACACTTGTTGATACTTGATTCAGACTTGAAATGAGCTTAAAAAGACTTGGATAATCTAAGAAAAGATTAGGAAACACTAAGAAAAGTTAGAACACTTGAAATGAATTTAGAAACTTGCAAGTTTATGTATTTTCAATGTCTTGTCTATGCTTTATGTAGGTTAAGCAAGTTGGAGGAGAAACCCTTGTCAAGAGCCATTTGTGAGTAGTAGTTTAGTAACACTATAGTTGATAAACTATTTTTCAAATGCAAAACTTATTTATGTTTATGAAAGTTGTGTTATTGGTTGATATGCATAAACATCCTATATTATTTTAACATGTATTTAAAAGACACCTTGGAAGTCCTAGTTATGGCCGAGATGACCTTGCCACCTTCGGATGGGTCATTTAAGCGGTACCTAGGCTGGTTAAACGCCTTGTTCCTTAGAATGTTCATCTGTTTACAAGTCAAGTTTTGCATTGTCTTACTCAAGTTATGCTATGTTCAAATTATGATTTGATGATATGTTTATAAAGCTTGTCAGTGTTCATTCATTCACCGCTCTACTATATTACTATTCACTGGACAATGGCTCACCCCTCTTCCTTATATATGTGTAGGTGATGAAGAGTTGGATTATGAAGAGAAGTTTGAATAGAAACTGGTCTTGTATGGTTGTGCTAGATTTGTAAAGCCTTGTCATATGTGCTATTTTACCTTGTCGTTTAGACTATGTAATAATGTAAGATAACGATCCAAGAGGAATGAATGCTTTCATTTCATGTAGTTATGCACTGCTTTGAGTGGATGTTTCGAATGGACTCAATATAAACAAATAATGGCTTCCGCACTCAAAAATATAAAAAAAATTGCCCCAATTATCTTAAGACTCCAACTTGTTTTGAAAGTTAGGCCCTTGATAGTCTATGACTACTGGCCGGTCACAACGCCATCCTGTTTGGGATGGGTTGGGATTGTGACACTTAAACTTCTCCCTGAATTAGAACAGAGAGAAAGAATAGGAGAGAGAATCAGGAAGAGAAGCACGCAAGGGCCACAATCCTAATCACACAAAGGTCGCAACCTTAAACAACTGTCAATTTCATTAATTGAAGGCTGCCTAATATAATACCAAAGCCTATTATATATAGGTTAACCTTAATAAAATAGAAAAATTAATAACAAGAAGAAAATAAATATTAAATACTAAAGACTTTAATTTATAAAATTATAAATATAAATTAAGCCTCCACATGGTGGAAAGATATTGTGTGTGAGCCGAATAGTGGGAATTAGGATCCTCTCATTGCTCTCTCTCCTTACCTCCTAACTTGTGACGTTAGAGATGTACCCTAAGATGATTCAACGGTTTAGATCTGGCTATTTAAAAAATAAATAAAATTAGAGTGCATCACCACCGTTGCAAGTAGGAAGGCAAGGAGAGGATCTGGAGTCGAATAGTGGACCTCTACCTTGTGCATCACTTATTAACATCTTTGTACACATGTTTGATTTGATCAAAAGATATCACAACATGCTCACTTAGGATAAGATTTATATGTATGGCCTTTCTCTAGCTGCTTCCTTTGAATGGAAGCAACAGATAAAATCAGAGACAGAGAGAGAGAGAGAAATAGCAATCAGAAATATACCATACCTTCTTCTAGGGTCACAATTCTTCCTTTCTGAATGCTAATCTGATCCATTATTAATCGCGTTTGGCTTGTATAATAATTTTCTGATTACACCTGTTATGATCAAATAAACATTATAGGTAAGGAGGGATTGTACAACTAGCACGTCTGGAAGTGATTAATTTCTCTGAATAACAGATTCCAAGACACCTAGACATTGTTAGGCAAAGGGAACATAAAGCAATCACTAAGCATTTCAAACAGATGAATTATGATTTTTGATTATTCTCATCAAATACCATGTAGATGGATTTATCATATTTTGCTTGCAATAATATGCATAAAAGAATTCACTGCTCTGAATCTACATCAGATTAAACAAAGGAGGAACAAACATTGCAAATACAGCACAGAATAGAATGTTCAGTTCCTCATACAGATACATATTATTACATGTACATATTGAGCACAATGTTCACAAACATAACATGTATTATATATATATATATATATACATATATATTAGGGATTCAAATCAAACTACCTAAAAAGGATAAGAATCAAAGCATTTTACCCCTTTTTAACAATGGAGCAATTCTTATTTTTGATTTCGAACTCTGTTGTGGAGTGTGGAATTCAATTCGACCAAGTCAATCAAGACACGTTATGTTATGGTAGTCACCTCTTCTAATCTAACCCCTGATTATTGTGGCTTTTGGTGTGATTGCCGACTTTCCCAAGCCTTCGCCTTTTCAGGTGAGCATATGAGTGAGTTTTCAGGTGAGAATATGAGTGAGTGAGTGAGTGAGCCCATTCATGTTCAATCAGCTAACTTAAATAATTAATATTTCGTCTTTTTCATCCATCATATTATCATAAAGAATAAGGGCCATTTCCCTAAATAAGCCAAAATAGTAAATTAATTTTCAAACTAAGCCTAGTTTTGAAAGATTTTTCAAAATAAGCTAAATCGCGGTTGTGAAGCACGATTTCAACACATGTACGCCTCTCTCGCGTGGAAGTTGGGAAATCTTAAAATCGTGGTTACAAAACGCACTTTTGATTAAGAAATCGCGGTTACAAAACGCGCTTTTAATTAATTTTGAACTCGCTATTCCAAACCACGATTTTAATCAAAAAAAATTTTCTTCTAAACTCGCTGTTTCTAACCACGATTTTATCAAAAAATATTTTTCTTCTGAACTCGCTTTTCCTAACCACGATTTTATCAAAAAACATATTTCTTCTGAACTCGCTCTTTCGAACCACGATTTGTATACAATTTTTTTAAGTGAACTCGTGGTTTGTAATCACGAGTTTAGAATTGCTATAAAACCTCCCCAGCCCCGTCATTTGCATTCACGCTTCTTATACACACAGTTCGCTCCTGCTCTCTCTCTCTCGCTCTTATTGCTCTCTCTCTCTCTCTCACTGTGCACGAGCTCCCTTTCTGCTCTTTGCCCTCTCTCTCGTTGGTATGCCTTCTGTCTCTCTCTCTTGATCTACTTTATTGTGTTTTTTGTGGTTGTGAAAGTGGGTATAATGTTGGTAGAATAAGGTTCATGAATATAGTTCTAAATCGTTCTATGGTTAAATCTAACATTTAACATTAACTTCGAATTGAATCAGATTTTTGTTACATATGCCATAAAAATACTCTAAATTCATCCTAAATGAATTGTGAAAATGCCATAATCGTTCTATGGTTAAAACCCTAATATGATTTAAAAATACTCTCTTAATCTGGTTAATGTATATGTGAAATTTGAGAAATTAGGATTACATTTATGGCATCTGTTGAATGTGAAATCTGTTGAATGAACCTGTATCTTAGAAAAATTTAAATATTATGTTTCAAATGAGAAAATGAGGGTTATGGTTTTCGATTGAATGTGAAATGAGAAATGAGGGTTTTGGTTTTGAATTAGGGTTTTGAATTGATAAATGTGAAATCATTTTTCAATTAGGGTTAGGATTTTAAATTGTGAAATAAAAAATGAGGGTTATGGTTTCAAAAATTAGGGTTTAAGAAATTTATAATAAGTTAAATTGTTTTGATAATGTTATATGATTTTTTTTAGGAACAAATTATGTCAAAACGTAGAGAAAATAAAATCCTAAATGATTTGGGTCAAATTGGTTGAATAATTTTAATAATTTAATTTCATTACAATTTTTTTTAAACCATACCCAATTAAACTTAAAAAATGAAAGCCAATTTTGGGCATTTGGACATTTTACAATTTTCGGCAATTGGACATTTTAAAATTAAACCATACCATACCATACACAATAATTTTACAATTTCGGGCACTTTTGGCCAACTTTGGTGTTTTGTGTTAGATTCATTATTTTGGTATTTCGTGTAATGTTGGTAGAATAGGGTTCATGAATGTGAAAATGTTGTCAAATCAGAAATAATAAATTAGGGTTAGGGTTTATATTTGTGAAATCTGTTTAGAAATCTGTTGAATGTGAAATCTTAAATCTAAATAAGGTTAGGGTTTATATTTGTGAAATCTGTTTAGAAATTCTGTTGAATGTGAAATCTTAAATCTTAAATAAGGATTAGGGTTTATATTTGTGAAAATCTGTTTAGAAATCTGTTGAATGTGAATGTTAAATGGTTTATATTTATCTTAAATATGTTCATAAATTGTGAAATTCTGTTGAATGTGAAATCAGATTTCTTTTAATGTGACATATGTTGAATGTTCAATCTATTTAGAAAAATTTAGATATTATGTTTGAAATGAGAAAATGAGGGTTATGGTTTTCTATTGAATGTGAAATCAGAAATGAGGGTTTTGGTTTTGAATTAGGGTGTTGAACTGATGAATGGCGAAATCGTTTTTCAATTACGGTTAGGGTTTTTGAATTGATGAATGTGCAATCATTTTTCAATTAGGGTTAGGGTTTTAAATTGTGAAATCAGAAATGAGGGTTATGGTTTCAGAAATTAGGGTTTAAGAAATTTATGATAAGTTAAATTTTTTTAATAATGTTATATGATTTTTTTTAGGAACAAATAATTTTTACATAATGAATAAATAATTATCTATAATAATAATAATTTTCTTGTATATTATTATCGTAATTAACTTTATAATTTCTTGGGAAAAAAACGGCAAAACACAAGAAAATCTAATTTTGTCTATATAAAAATTATCTATAATTAAAATTTCAAAATTTTCTATCCCTTTCTTTCAAAATTTCGAAATTATTATTATTTTTTTCTTTCACTTTCCACAAATTTTCCTTTTTAATCAAAACATATTTAAGGAATAATCATGTCATTTCTTTTTATTTTCATTCCAATAAATTAAGCACAGTCTAACAATATTTACGATATATTAAAAACAATTAAAAATAGAATCATATAATATATATCAGTGTCATACAAAATTGAATTACAAGGAACTATGTTTAAAATTGTCATGGTTAGTCTAGTACTAATTATCCCGAGTCCATAGATCCAACTGATCATTATATCATTTTTTATTTCTCTATTATGGAAAGTATAAGGGGATGTTTGGCATAAAAGAAAAGTAAGTTCAGTCAAAAGAAAATGAGGAGAAAATTAAGGGGAAAGGGGGAGAAAATTTTCAGTTCTGAGAGGGTGGCCGTATCCTTCACCGCGAATAGTCTGAGTGAAACCCAAAATGCGTTTTTACCTCTTTCCCAAAAAATTACCAAAACATTAGAAGTAAAAAAATTTGATATAAATAAATGTCTTTTTAGAAGTGATCCACAAAAAATTAGAAGTCAAAAAATTACTTTTTACCTCTTTGCCAAAAGAGGCCTTTCAAGTCGTCATGGAAAATGCTATTATCAAAACATTTGATATAAAAAAAAAAAAATTGTTTAAGAATTATGTTTGAAAAAATTAAAATATTTGATTTATAAAATGACTCATTCTCGATAATTTTTACCCACTTGAATTATCCAATTGACTTATTCTCTATGCGCCTGCATTATGTTTATTCAATTAAGTTTTAACTTTTTACGACTTTTTTTTAATTGAAACCTGTAATTTTTTCCCCCCTTTGAATAGTAATCACCAACCATATTCTGCGGCCAAAGGAAAAACTTATTAAAAATTAAAGAAAAGCAAGTTTGAAACAACCCATCCTGTTCAATTCAATCCTGTTCAATTCAATTGTAGCGAATGGGTTTAGGTGGAAAAAAAAATGGAATTCATATTTGTTAAAAAAACTTGAATAAGTTTGATAAGTTAAAAAAAATAAGTACAAAAGTTGGCACAATCCACTGTTTAGTGCTGATTTTTTAACATTTTTTTTTAATTTTAAATTTAGGATAAATTATATTAGTAGTCTGTATATTTTGCTTCTTATGTCATTTTTATTCTTATACTGTTAATTAATTCAATTTTGACCTTTAACATGGTGGCATCTCTACATGTAATTTGGTCTAATAAATAAAGACATTAGGATTTTTAACGGAAAATAATTACTAAGTTAGTTGATTTTAACTCAATAAATTTGTAAAGTTTATAAATTTGCTCTTAAAGAGGGACACATATTGCTCATATATGCATTTTTCATAAGTTTTTAATAATTGTAATAAATTGAATTAAATTCGAACAAAGTCGTAAATAACTTATTTTTATCCAATTGACTTATTTTTTATTTATGTTATTTCTTACGTTATTTCCCTAAGTTATTTCCTATGTTATTTCGTATGAGGTTATTTCCCTAAGTTAGGGAATATCTCATAAGGAATAACCTACCAAATAATTTTGTCATTAAGGTCCCTATTGGCAAGAAGCTGAGCAATAAAAATAACTTCTTTTAAATTGTCCATAAATCTCACTAATTGGACCATATCAGTTTTAAAAAAATTACGTGAACAATGTTTGAAATAAATTTAAGAAGAAGTCATACAAAATCAGTCGAGTTATTTCAACTCAATGAAAAAATAAATAATTTCTAGAAAAAGTTACACTATGATTTAAGATTTTTGTATGACTTGTGTCTAATTTTGTCCAATCGCACTGAATAAATACATACTTGATACAAATTATACTTATAAAATTATATGAAAGAAAAAATAAAAGAAGAATTTTCATAATGTTTCATATTCAAAATTATTGATATATCTGTCTAGTTTATCGAAAAACTAATGTCTGAATAGATCAAGATTGGGAGATAATATCCTCAAAATAAGTGTTTTTAAAATTGTTACCATTTACATGCGTACGATTAAATCATTGCCCAAATTAGGAGCTTTTCCCAAATTAAGGCAAAATAGTAATTTATTTTCCAAAGTAAGCTTAGTTTGGACAGAATTCATGAACTAAGCTAAAACGTGGCTACAAACCACGCTTTCACTGTTTTTGTGCCCCTCCCGCGAACAATTTGTAAAATCTTAAAAGTGTGGTACAATCCACGCTTTTAATTAACAAAACGTGATTACAAATCAGACCTAAAACTTTGCTGAATTTGTTTTAATGTGCACAAGAGCATGATCTTAATCATAATAAATAATGTAAAAAGCATAACAGAAGAGCATGATGTTAATTTTGTATGTGTTGTAAGATATGTTTCTTAAAAAGCTAAAAAATCTAAAGCATTATCATTATTTTAACTCATATTTGTTCAAGTAATCAATATTGCTTGTTGGATTACAATTACTGATTACTTGAATAAAGTTTTTGCGTCACAAGTAATTGTAATTGAATGAATTAAAATTCATATAATTCTTTTACAAGTACAAGGAGATATAAGTATATTATTGCTATTTTAATTTTTTGTCTTAATAAGTATATTGTTGCTATTTTAATGTTTTTTGTCTTAATTGAAGCAA